AGTGTGGGATCGAGACTGAATTCTGGAATAACATTTTTTACTTTCCTTCTCACTGTTCGTAGCTTTCTTTTTGCTGATTTACGCTCCTTGAGCCTGGATAGCAGGTGTTTGTCTTACTGTTACGGATCAGCTATGGAGCAGATCTGCGCCTCTCGCCCGCCAGTTGCTCCTGATCACGGGTAGTGTCTGCTTCTCCCCCTTGACTTCCCCAAATGTTGTTTATCAAAGTCTTAAGAAACTCAAGGATTCCCAGATGGCGCTAAGCCAATTTAGTATTGGATTTTGTAACACTGGAAGGTAAACATTATTTTTGCAGAAATGAGTTTTTGTTTCCCTCTCTGAGTTGGTTGGTGAGAAAAAAATGTACAATGTTTTTCTTCCTGTTCTGATAATGTCCGCAAATGTTTCATCTGTTAAGGATGACAGACGATCTCAGGGGAGGGTGTGACACTTCTAGTTACTGTCAGGTGGGGTTTTTTTGCTTCCGTGGGGGGGTGTGGGGGCCCTGTTTTACTTGGCTAACTTGTGGGCTCCCTTACTTTAAGGGGAATGTGGGCTTTGCACTCCACCCCCAACCCAGTCTGGTTTCTCTCCTTTTCCAAATCCCAATGCCCCAGTGCCCACAGATGTGTTCCACCAGGACCAGCCTTTCTGGAAGGCTCTCCTGAGCTGTCCTGTTCTCTCTGCCAACCTTGTCCCATCAGGGTCCACCTGCATCCAGAAGGGAATTCCCTTTTCTCACTGGTCCCACCAGCAACCTCCTGTTGTCTAGATCAATGGCCTTTCTCAGCTCTCCTTCCTCGAATGCATGTGACACTGGAGGTTGAGTAGCTTTTTGAGGGCAGGGATTGTGTCCTCCTCTCCCACAGAGGTTCACTATAAATGTTTATAAAATGAATGTGTATATCCTCCTCTTGAAAACTCTGCCAAACTCTTTATATGATTGATTTCCTATGATGCTATTTCCACAGTCTTTGTCTCTGGCCCTTTCCCTGACTCCTAAACATGTGTGTTCCGCAAAGTGTGGTTCTAAATCTTCTTCACCCCACCTCTTGGAACTGTCATCTTTCCACCCTGTCCCTGAAACCTCTGCCCTGTCTTCTCACCTCTGAACCATCACCTGGGTTCAGCTGTCTACTCCTGAATACTGCCACCTTGACCCGTCCCCAGAGAAACTCATCCACTTGCTCATTTCATCTTCCCAAAGGCGAAACTTTGACATGCATGATTCTGCCACATAAATAGATCCCTTTCTGTGCTTATATTTTTTCTTTGTGCTACATATTCTGGAATAGTGAGCACGCACAACCAAAACTTCTGCTTAACAGAGCACCTGCTACATGAACACTCCCAGCAAAAATGGCATCTCCCTTGGCGACTCTTCACGACACTTTTCCTCTGCGGCCGTGAGCTCCATTTACCTCCTAATACTGAATATTGCAATTTTTGAACACTTCTCCTTAACTAGATTGTAAGCATCTTGAGGGAGCATTTGTGTCCAAATTGTCTCTGAGTCCAGGCAGGGGCACAACCCAATACCTTATGGTTGGCTTGCGATGCCAGGAATCGCCATCACTTTGGGGAGGACATTCTGAATGTTAGATCCTGGGGGGATGCCCTTGTCTGGACTCAAAGACAGTTGAGGGACTGGGAACAGAAGCCGGTCGGTCACTTGTTCTGAAACCTGCTGGATGGATGGCAGCATCTCCCTCAGTGTTCCCGTCAAAGCCCATCAGCTGTCACTTCAGTTGTGTTTGGAATGATGTGTTCCTGAACCTTGTAATAGTGAGAATGGGGCCTACCCCTAGAAAGTGGCCTCAGACTTTACAATGATGTAAAGTTAAAGACATGCTGTTATTCATAGGAGGTTATAAAATTGACCCATATTGATAATGGTAATAAACCAATTATTATTAGATTGAACATTTACTGAATGTGTATCGAAGGCTTTGTATACAGCTTCTCATTTACTCTCAACTGCCATGAGGCTAGTGCCAAACGCTTAGGCATTGTCCTTGTATCCCTTTGTGCCTCTCAAAGCCCTTTACTATCCATATCTCAGTAGCCTTGAGATATGAGAAGCTTAGCAGTGCTGAACTACACTCTTTTTCCAACCTCACAAATCTCTACCCATATCACTCCCCTGCAGTCTCACAACCACTTACCAAATGAGGAAATCACTTGATACTTGGACATGGTGGCCGATGTAGCCGGGAGCTGACATCCAGTTCCTGGGCAGAGCCACAACTAGGTCCCAGGCTGCCTGGCACCAAATGCTAACAGTGCCTGCAGGTCTCCTGGCACGGTGCGCCACATTCAGGATGTTCTCCTTTAAGTGACAGAGATTCCTGCATCACAGGCCAGCCTGGCGAGTGGGTGGGATTCCCTTCGTCGTATTCCATGGGGCTCTGCCCACCTTGTGGTTCTTTGCCTTCTCTGGTGTGTCCCTCCGTCCCTACCCGACACTTGTGGGGAATACACAAACACAAAGCAGGCATGGCCTGCCCGACCTTCTTGCAGGCATTCTTGCTCCGAGAAGCTTACTTAGCTGAAAGGAAAACCCAACCAACGTTAAGTCCGTGGGTGGTTTCCAGAAGCTGAAATCTCTGTGGGACACTCTAGTCCCCACTGTTGGTTACCCTTTCTCTCACGGTGTGTGAGGAAGCAGAGGGTCCCAGCTTCTCCATCAGCCCCCCGACCAGTTCTGGGACAGTGGTAAAGATGACAGCCACATGGGCAAGACACCAGCCATGATCACTTTTATCGAGGGCGTACTGTGTGCCAAGTGTCTGCTAAGTCGACCCTATGCATTCTGAGCTCAGTGGTTCTCAAAGTGTGGTTCCCCACGCCAGAGCATTGGTTTGCAAGTTTGAGAACCACAGCTCAGGCATACAGGCTGTTTTTACCACCTTGGCCATGGCTTCTTCAGGCTCCCTGGGCTGCTCTGAGGTTTCTGTTAAGATCCCTCAAACCCATGTGGAGGGGAAGAGAGAAGATCAAATAATTCCTAATCCCAGCTACTCAGTGTCAAGCATTTGCACTGTACCACGGATAATTCTAGGCATTGTCTACCGATTAACTCATTTAATCCTAACAGTGACCCTAGGGAGCCACTACTATTATTATCATCACCCTTCTCATCACCTTAGATGAGGAAACTGAGGCACAAATTGAATGGCTAATTTGCCCAGAGTCACTTGGAATCTGAACCCAAGGCAGTTGGCTCCAGTCTCACCCTAACCACATGTTGCACCACGTGGACGTCTGTTCCCTCCCACCCCAGGTTCCATTTTTTTCACCTTGGGGATGATGCATCTTAACCACTGACCTCCCTGAATTAGACTGCTCAGGCTGCCATAACAAAAGACTACAGACCGAGTGGCTCAAACAACGGTATTTTATTTTCTCACAGTTTTGGAGGCTGGAATTTCAAGAGCAAGGCGTGGCAGGGTTGCTTTCCTCTGAGGCCTCTCTCCTTAGCTTGCAGATGGCTGTCCTTTTCATACGGCCTCTCCACACGGCCGTCCCTCTGTGCACGTGCACCCCGATGTCTCTTTGTGTGTCCAGATTGCCCCTTCTTGTAAGGACACCAGTCAGATTGGGTTAGAGCTCACCTTAACAGCCTCCTTTTAATTCAGTCATCCTTTAAAGATCCTATCTCCAAGTACAGTCACATTCCGGGATACTGGGGGTTAGGGCTTCAACACATGGATTTGGAGGCAACACAGTTCAGCCCATGACACTCCCAGTCCCCGTCATTCATGCCTTTGGCCGACAGTAGCTATTTCATGTCTCCATACCCTGAGTCCTCTTTTACCCCCATCGAACGAAACCCACCATTCTCTGTATGTCTTCCTGGGTCGGACGGCTACATCTCTTCCAGGGACAACAGGCATGATGCAGAGAGATCAGCCGCTATGTATGCTACGAATGTGTGGCTTTAATTTGACAAAAGCTACCATGCGCACCTGGGAATTGAGGGATCAGCACAATATCTGGTAAAACAGGCATTTTAGATTTTTCTATATTGAAATCAGAAATAGCAATGTTTCTTAAGGTATTATTTGTGGACCCTGGCACCAGAATCGCCTGGGCCGCCCTTGGACATGACAGTGACTTAGAGAAGGAGAGTCTCCAGGGGTGGATCCCTTGAGTCCACAGATCTAAGAATCCCTCTGTGTCAGCCCTTCTCCATCCTCCCACGTCTGGTGGTTCTTAGGTATGCAAAGGTGTCAGCCTTTCTGTCTGTGGAGTTAGACACAGTTGGGTTGTGTTTCAGCTCTTCCATTAGCAGGTGTGTGACCTTGGAACAGGTTAGCCTCCCTAAGATTGTGTCTTCATTTGCAAAATGGAATTAATCTAGCAAATCAATGGAATTAATCTCGAAACCTCCTAGGGTTGCTGTCAGGATTAAATTAGATTATAGAAATAAAGTACTTCCCCACCTGCTTGTTTCAGAAGGGAGGGAGTTCAATCCCTGGTAGCATTAGCTCTGCCACCAAGGTAGCATTTCTACTACTGAGCAAAGACTTCTCTTGCATCCCAAGACATATCCTGTAAGAACTAGTCTATGTGCAGATGGAAAAGCCCATATAGAAGTTGATAAACAGGACCCAGGAGGTGGCAGGAGGATGGGAATCCCAGCCAAGTTAGAAGGAAGGGCCACAAAGAAAAGAAATCTCAAAGGACATCTGCAGCTCACAGCACTTGGGATATAAAAGCCAGGCCTGGTTTCTATCCAGCTGTATAAATTGCACACTGTCAAACCATAGCTGTCCTGGGTGAGTGTGGCAGAGGTGTCTTCTCACTCCCAGACTGACTGGGATTTCTTTTCTGCTAGAATTACTAACATGCATTTGTGTGTGTGTGTGTGTGTGTGTGTGTGTGTGTGTGTGTGTGTGTGCTCTCTGAATTCCCTGAGATCTGTGGGCCTAACAGTGGGTTGGATGCACATTTGAAGTGACATGTTTTTGGACCTTCTTGCATTTTGTCATTTGTAGAGGAGCTGAAGGCCCCCCTGGAGGAGTACGTCCACAAACGCTACCCCGGGCTCGTGAAAGTGGTGCGAAATCAAAAGAGAGAGGGCCTGATCCGAGCTCGCATTGAGGGCTGGAAGGCGGCCACCGGCCAGGTCACCGGCTTCTTTGATGCCCACGTGGAATTCACTGCTGGCTGGTAGGTCATGAGCTGGAGCTTAGGGGCACTCAGGACTTGTGCTGGGGTTGGGAGGGGCTGGAAGCTGGGAGGTGGGACATTTTACCTGTTTCCTCTGGGGCCACTGGAAGAGTGGGGATAGACCGATTGAAGAAGAAAGGGAGACCATTGTCTGGGTTATAAAGCTGAAAGAAGTTTGTCTGCTTTCTATTCAGTTCATCATCATTGTCTTCATCATTGTCATCATCATCATCAAAATTTGTAGTGAAAATGGTGTGTGTTAGAACTCAATGTAATCCTTGCAAAGGGGGCAAAGACTGTCATATCTTTATTGTTCTCTTTTCCCACTTGGCTGTTGTCTTTCCTGGGAAGGATGGTGACTGTTATTGTGAGAAAAGAAGTACGTTCGTAATTCTAACAACTCAGGCAAAGCTTCCTCAATTTATGGGATTATATTTAACATCATTCAGAGGAAGAGGAAGTTTATTTTGTACAAATGTGGCCCTGATGTTTTTCCGGGTGTAAAGAGAAATTGGTATGAGAGAAATTGGTGAGTCTACTGGGAGTAGAAGATTTTTGGATGTATGAAGAGTGAAGCATTGAAAATGCCCAAATAATTCAATGAGTGTGTTGAAATTGAAATAGGATTTTACAGTTTAAAAGCATGGTCTGATGGTTATTGCTACCTAACCAAGGAAAAATCGAGTTGGAGGTTAAAGAACTTGTGCTCTGCATTGGTTAATTAGTAAGAAGCGGAGCCTTATATTTCACAAATAACCTTTATTTACATTCAGTGATAGCGTGTTGAATGGGTGTTGTTCACAGTATTAGATTTGGAGAACCGATATCGCATCACTAATGAAACATTAAAATGTCTGTTCTTGTTCATTTGCAACAACCTTTAGAATCCTTTTAATGACCAGACAAAAGAACGGCTATGCCTGTGACCACACAAAAACATGGGGCCGTGGTTAACAATGGCCCCTTCAAGTGCACGCCGGGATCTGTTGCCATTTCAGACACCAGTTTTCTCTCTGGTCTTTTGCTGCCATCAAACCCTGATGACTCCCAGCTGCCTGTCTTCAGTCCTGACCTCTCCCCTGAGCTTGGGAGGTTCATCTCTGGTAATAATCACTCTCAAAGTGTGGTGCCCAGACTGGCAGCATCTGCAGCATCTGGGGACTTGTCAGAAATGCAAATTATTGGGCTCCACCTTGGAGGGGGAGGGTCCATCGACCTGTTTTAACCAGCCCCCCAGGTGACTGTCCAGGAAGCACTGAGCTAGACGCCTTCTGCACAGATGCACTCTGATGTTCCCCTGCAGCCTCAGGCTTGGCTTATCTGTCTTTTCCGCTGCATCGTTGCCTCCTTGTTTTTTTCATGTCGAAACTGGTGGCTCCACCATGTCCCTATCACTTGATTCTTCCTTTGCCATCATGTCACTCATCCAGTCAACCTGCTGTTTCTCACGTCTCCCTCCTCTGTGTTGTGACTGCCACCTCCCAGCTCCGTGCTTCATTGTCATTCACCCAAACGAATGCAGTGGCCGCCTGAATTCATCCTTTTCATGAGTATTTGCTGAGTGCCTAACATGTCCCTGATGCTGTGCTAGGCTCGGGGTGTGCCGGGTGCCGAGTGGCTTCTCAGGACTTTGAGTGGTAGCGCTGGCACAGTCCTGGGAAAACTGGGACAGTTGGTCACCCAGCTGAGGTTCAAAGTCTTCCCTCAACTCTGCAGTCTAACTCTGGTCCGTCTAGTCTAGTCCTCCTGGCCTCTCATTCTAACGAGACCCATGACTCATTTTCCACACTTCTACCAGAGTGGCATGTGGCCCTCTCCGGATTAAAACCCTTTGCAGTTTTTCATCACAGGGTAGATGAAGTGTCTCAACTTGTACTGGTTTATACTGCAGTAATAACCTCCAATCTTGGTGACTTATGACAATAAAGATTTCTCTCTTGTCTGTGTGGCACGTCAGCCACGGTTGTTTGTCTGTGGCTTTGACTGATTGATCCTCTGTGTTCTGGGATCCAAGGAGAACTCCTGCCTAGGACATACCCTCTTTGTGGCTCAGGGAGAAGAAGGACGACTGAATCTCATAATGGCTATGACAGTTTCTGCTCAGATGCAGTGTTGTCACTTCTGCTCACATCCTGTTGGCAAACCAATTCACAGGTCCAAGCCAAATGTTAATCGGAGGTTGAGGGAGGAGTGCAGTCCCACAGGGAAGCTCTGCAGGCCCCTGGTAATAGGCTCGACGTCCCCAGGGAGGGGAACAAATAACTGGGAACTGTCAGGTCATACTCTGTCTTGTAGACAATAGGATCAGAGTCCTCGGCTGCAGAAGTGTTACTGGAACTGAGGTCCTCTGCCCCTGCACTCGGTGACTCTGTCACTGCTCAGTGATGGGCGGACCTGAGCTTCCATATGCGCAGCCCCAGACCTGCATGGGGGGAAGCACAGCCCTTCAGGAAGGCAGTGGAGCTTCGGGATTAGGCCTGAAATCAAACCATCTAGGATAGAAACCTGGTTCTGCCACCAGCTGGCTGATGGCCTGGGGCAAGCCACTTAACCTCCCTGGGCCTCAGTTGCCTCATTTGTAAAATGATGATCCTAGTACCTACCTCTTAGGACTGTTGTGGGGGCTGCATTATTAAGCACTTGTAAAATATTTGGAATAGCACGTAATAAGTGCTTGATAAATATCAGCTGTCTTTAGCTGAGAGGGAAAAATAGCACACATTCAAAGATTCGCAAAGGCAGCCTGCAGTCAGTGTGACTTGAATAAGGTAGAGGAAATGGTCTAAGATTGAGAAAAGGAAAAAGGCTTCCTACCGGGGGAAATTAGGGAAGGCTTCCTGGGAGAGGTGGCGCTTGATCTAAGCCTCTTCCATGGGCTTAGATCAGGCTTTCTGCCAATGGCATGGGCATCCCCAGAGGAGAACAGCGCAAGTGCAGGCTTGCCGGGCCCAGGCTCCGTGGCACGTCTAAAGTCTTGGAAAGTCAGGCCCATTTGGCTTCAGCCTGCACGGTGTGTGCAAAACTACCTGGGGCAGGTAATGGCCCAGGGTATATTTTATTGCTCATTTTAAATAGAAAGATGAGATGAGCCAACAGGTAATTCAATAGCTGCAAATGAAAAGAGATGGGCTGTCGACGTGCGCTGTCATTATTCTTCCAAATAATGCAGAGGAATGGGGTTTTCGCTTGACTCTTTTCCAAAGCCTGCGCGCTCCTCCAAGATGGGAGATGAATGCACTGGCTTAGGAGAGCCATCTTTTCCTTCTCAAATACGGGAAATGAGCCCTTCCTACGTCCGCCCCCGAGACACGCGATGGCGGAGGTGTCGACCATCTGTTTTCTCCTAAGCCAGCCGGCTACACCTTGAACCCGGAGCCGGATCCCTGACTAATGCCTGCTGCAGCCCTGGGGGGTGGCGCAGGAGGCAGGATTCTGCCTGCTTTTGCATTTAGTTAGTTCCCAGCCTTGTATTGCTAAGCAATTCAATTAGATCCCTTTTAAGAAATCAATTAAATAATCAATTAAAACAACTGAAATAGTCACACGCACAAAGAAGCTAGTGAAATGCTTATTAAAACCAGGTCAGCTAGGGCAGAAGTGACTATTTTGGGAAAGGGAATTCAGTGCCAGCAGGAAAAAACAAGAGGGAGCAGTCAGTGCCCTGAGGGGAAACTTACGACACTGTGTAGCGCCGTGGTGCCATGCAAATCGTGCACAGCCAGTCCGCTGTCAGTGCGAGAGAGAGGCTTGGCACTTTCCCAGGGAGGGGACCCCATGCTCTGAATTCTTGCTCCAGGCTTCTCGTGCCAGTACAGGCATCACTGTAGTGATTGCGACAAGGGCGAAAGCACGAGCTGTTTCACACACTTCACAGTCCACGCGTGAAGCTGCATGATCCAACATGGGCAGGTCACGGGGCTTCAGGAAGCCCCAGGTTCCGTCTCAGTCGCAGCCTGCCCAAAGCCCAGCCTCCTAGCTAAGTGGCTTCTGTTCATGTCCTGTGGTCTGGGGGTCTTGGGGAGTGTGCCTTGGGAAAGACACTTGATTTCCGCTTCTCTGTGTTTCAGGGCCGAGCCGGTTCTATCCCGCATCCAGGAAAACCGGAAGCGAGTGATCCTCCCCTCCATCGACAACATCAAACAGGACAACTTTGAGGTGCAGCGCTATGAGAACTCGGCCCACGGGTACAGCTGGGAGCTGTGGTGCATGTACATCAGCCCCCCGAAAGACTGGTGGGACGCCGGAGACCCTTCTCTCCCCATCAGGTTTGTGGCAGGCGAGCTCTGGCGGCCAGTGAGCACCCAAATTCAAGGGCAAAGAGAACCCACTGACAGTGGCCAGGAGAGACTGTCTTGGGCTAGAGCGGCAGTGTGCAGACGGCTCCTTAGGGATCTCAGGTGTCTTGGGATCACAGTTTTCTTGCAGAGGGAGGAGGACGTTGCATTTTGTTCCTTTGGCTAACTTTTTCAAGTGCAGCTTTCGTAGAGCGATACTGAAAGTTGAAAATTGATGGTATTGCTCACACTTCTTTATTCTTCCTCATATATGATCAACTGTGTTCAGGAGCTTTTAAGTATGAAGTTTGAAGCGTGTTATTTCCTGGGGCTGTTTCACACTGGAAACCTTGTACTGTTGCAGTGTTTCCCACCCTTTTTCATGAGACAGGACCACATAGAAAAGGACAGTAGTTGTGTGGCACCCTGGGGAACTGGGGGGGCCTTTGGGGAGCCCTATATGGCTCTTGCCCCAAGTCCCACCCAGCTGCCCCCGGGACACAGAGATCAACATCTCTTGACAGACCAGTTGGGAAGCTCAAATATAAAGAAGGTTGAATGGCCTGGGCACAGTGGTTCATGCCTGTAATCCCAGCACTTTGGGAGGCTGAGGTGGGAGGATCACTTGAGGCCAGGAGTTCCAGACCAGCCTGGGCAACATAGCAAGATCCCATCTCTTCTAAAAAAAAAAATTAAAAATTAGACAGGCCTGGTGAAGCACACCTGTAGTCCCAGCTACTTGGGAGGCCAAGGCAGGAGGACTGCTTGAGCCCAGGAGTTTGCGGTTACAGTGAACTATGATCGTGCCACTGCACTCCAGCTTGGGTGACAGAGCATGACCCTGTCTTAAAAAAAAGGAGGTTGAATGAAGCAGATTGATTTTGATGCTATATTAGTTTCCTGTTGCTGCTGTAATAAATTACCACACACAGAATGACTTAAAACAGCACCAGTTTATTCTGTTACAGTTCTAGAGATCAGAAGTCCAAAATGAGTCTTATGGAGCTCAAATCAAGGTGTCGGGAGGGCTGGGTCCTTCTGGAGGTTCTAGTGGAAAACCCATTTCCTTACCTTTTCCACCTTCCAGAGGCTGCCCCCTTCCTTGGCTCCTGGCTACGCCACATCTCCCTTCCTCTCCTGCTCCTTTTGTCACCTGGCCTTCCTCCTTTGCTTTCTCGCCTCCCTCTTATAAAGGCTCTGTGGTTACATGTGGGATCCATATGAATAATCCAGGGTGGTCTCCCCATCCCAAGATTCCTAACTTAACACATCTGCAGAGTCCTTTCCCATGTAAGGGAACATTCACAGGCTCCAGAGATTAGGATGTGGGTTTTTCCAGGGGGAAGGGCATTAAGCAGCCCACCACAAATGCTCTGATCGTCAACCAAGGCGATCCCCAGGTTGTAGTTCGGTACGCTCTGTGAGTTCTACTAAAGGGCCAAACTGACTCTGAAAATCATGGTTCTGTCTTAGATCAGAAGAGACAGGAGAGGCCTGCTTACCTGGGCATGGCTTTAGGGGTATGCTTATTGGTATTAAGGGGGATAGGAAGACGGAATCGTGTATTAACCGTGAGGACTCTACAGATAGCCATGAAGTTCTTTCTCTGTTTACAAATTTGTGATAAACAAGAGTATGATTTTGAGAAGTTCTCTTATTTTCTGCTTAAACTGAAAGCTGAAAAATTGCATTTGCGTAGATCCACCCGTGGGCAATTTTGTGCAACAGGGAAGGTAATCTTTTGGGCCTGTAACTTCCTTAGCTGGAGCCATCTCATAGCTCAGTCCCCATCAACGGGGACTCAGTGCAGTCCCGTTCGTGCAATGCTGCAGGCCCATGCTCTTGGATGTCTGCACATATTAATAATAGCATAGACTCATCACTAAGGTGATACCTGAGAACCAAGGTGTAACCTTCAGGGATATTTAAACTTTAATGGCGAGTGCTTGAAGACACGTGGACCTTTGGAGCTTAAAGGGATGAAATTCAAACGATGGACTGACAGACAGTGAGTTTCCTGTTTTGGCCAAAGGATGCTTCCTCCCAGGTGACCTCCCTGACACACGGGAGGCCGGCCTCCAGCCACGAGAGATAACCGAATAAGAGTGTGACCGTCAATGTTAGCAACAGAGGGAAAGAAGTGGTTACAGCGCTGTGCTTTGGGGATGCTCAGCAAACGTCTCTGAGTATGTAAGTCACTAAGTGAAAAGTTAGCTTGTATTTCAAGAGTTACGGTAACATTAACAGATGATTAATATGCACTTTAAAAGGACTCAAGAAAATAGAGTCGTGATCATGAGTCATTAATATTACATGCATCTCTGATGTACAAAATGGAATCAAATGCCAGTGATCACTTTTTAATGTATCTTAACTTACGAAATGCTCAATCTGTTAATAGTTGATGGGAACATTTAATTGAAGGAAAGAATTTTTATGGTCCTTCTGAAATTATTAAGCAGATACAATATGGTTTCTTAAACGTTAGGACATAGCAGTTTCTCCTTCTCTCTGTGATGCCAACATTTTAATAGTTACGATTTTACTCTGGTAAAGGATGGGATGAGGAGAACCTTTCATAATCCAAATAGCACTAGATTAGATGAGGCTTTAGATACTTAGACTTCCCGGTAGGCAACATAATATAGGAGGTTTTGCGTTAAGGGAATTTATAACCTTTCTGTTTTCGTTCTTTCCCTGTTATTTCCTATATATCTTTTTGTTCTCCTGCCTGGTAAATAGCTATTTTCTAAGGTTTTCTGTTTTTCCACTGGTCTTCTTTGTCTACACGGGAGCTTCAGGTGCAGAGAGTGGGCAGGTACCATTAAAGAGGACGAGAACCAAGTGTAGGATGGGGCTGCAGGGGCTAAGGAGTGCATGTCCCACCCAAGGAGCCAACTGCTGCTGCCCCCACGTGATGGTGCTGGGGGGACACAGGGCCAGCATGGCCCAGTCCTCAGACTTTTAAGAGAAGCCATATATATATATAGATCCTTTGTGATCTATATCCTGACTTCTATTAATAAATGTTACCAATAAATCCCTCTTCTTCCAAACTATAAGGACCCAACCACATGTTTCCAGACTGCATTTCACCACGTGACCCCAGAATTTGATATTAGCGCCCCACTTGCTCCCTTCCCTTGGACACCACTGCAGTTCCCAGGGTGGCTGTCATCCGTGCTTCTCACGCTGGGAGCTGCAGGCCCCTGCGGAACATGATATCACCGTGGGGCTGGAGATCTGGGGAGAGCATCGCTCAAGGCCACAGAAGAAACATGGCCAGACTTCCTGGAGCTTGAGTTAAGCCCGCAGAGATTCCCCTCCCATCATTCCTTTGAGTGCCCACAGCCCTCTCTGCTGCGGTTCTTCTGTGTGAGAGCTTGTGAAGCACTGACCCGGCTCTGCCTCTGTGTCCCAAATCTGTGTCTTAAACCCTCATCATTCTCCAGAGCAACTTCATTTCTGTTGTCACATCAACAGCCCATCATTGGACCAGTGGATTTTAAACTTTGAGTCAAGGACCTCTCCGATTATTTGATGAAAGCCATAGATCATATGCCCCCGAACATGCATAAGTGAATATAACTTTGCATATAATTTCATGAGGTTCATAGATGCCTTGAAGCCCATCTCCTAAGGAGCCTTAGGGCTTATATTGTGAACCACTGCTAGATATTTCTACTTAGCCCTGCTAGTTGGAGAGCTTTTCTTAACCTTTCCTCATCACCCAGTGATCCGTGTGCTTTGCGAAGCCAGGGCCGTGGGTGTCTGTTTCACAGCTGGTTCCTGAGTGCCTAGTGGGCACCTGGCACTTAGCAGATAAGCCAAAAATGTTTATCGAGTGAATGGATGGGTGAGTGGCATCTGAGGCTCAGACGAGAGATCAGGGCTCGAAAATGATTAGAAAGAGGATGAGAGTGCCCAGAGGTGCATTAGAGAGGGAGAAGGAAGATGTCACTATTTCTGGGATGAAGGGAGCGTTCACGAAGGACGCTGATGGGAAATGACGGTCGGGGAGGTAGGAGGAGAACCAGGTTCTAAAACCCAAGGCAACGGGCGTAGAGATCCAATACCAGAAAGATGAAACACAACCCTGGCTTAAGCGATTAGCTTGTCATAACTTTAGGGAAAGCATTTTAAGGGAGTATTTAGGTCTGAAGCTAGAATTGAATGGGACAGGAAGAAGGGAGGATTGTGAGTGCAGATGACACTTTTAAGGTATTTGGGGGAGACCTGGAGAGGGAGGGGACAGGAACAGAGCAAGGGGTATGAAGTCAAGTGACATATACTTTTTAGAACGGGAGAGACTGAGCACATACCTCTAGCGCACTGGAGACTAGAGCTCACGGGCTCTATTTATAAAACACCTGTTGTTTTTGTTTCCTGTTGCCCCGTTGAATTTGTTCAGTGCAGTGAGCACGTCCCTTGTCCCTGGCTGCTAACTCCAGCAGACACTATGATGTTTCTTATCCTTGTTGGGAAAAAACAATTCCTGAAGTCACTTTAAGTCACAAACAGGCCTCAGTTCCATTATTGAAATTGTCCAGTCTCATGCAGTCATAAAAACATGAACTTAATTGAAATTAAAATCTCCTCCCATCCCTGCACTGCGACGAGCTGACTGTCTGCTGTGGGGAAGGGGCCGTGCTCCTTCTTCTTTCTCTCCATCCTTCCTCCCCGGCCCCCAGGTGCAGAGTCTGAACCCACCTGGGGCCCAGCATGGGGAGGAAAAGGGGGGAAGCAGGATGGAGGATTCTTGTTCCATGGGTGCCGGCTTGTGGGGGTTTGCACTCTCTGGGCCAGCAGTGTCACAGCGGATTCTTTCCACATTTGGAAGGTTCTTCCGATTCCTTAGCGTGGGGTGCGGACAATCTGAACCTCTGTGCTGCTTTCCCCGTGCAGACTCCGCACGTGCAGGCAGCGCCTCCCGCCAGCTGCCCTTGTCCAGCTCAGCCCACTTCTGCCTTCTCATCAGCCCCACGCCCTCT